TTGTTTAAAAAACGCTCTGGGGTGAGCCTAGTTTAGGACATCTCTGAAAGATTGAGACACAAGTGGCCATACCTCTTGTTGTTGCAGTGTCCATTAGACAGATACAATCCCAATGCTCTCCTACTTTACTGATTTAAATTCAAGATTAAATCAAGGCTGTGCCATCACGCGTAAACGGAAACACTGGATGTGTCGTAGTATTGTGAAATCTAGTTGTTGTTGTTTCTGGTGTTGTTAGTAACGTGAATGAGTACTATCTGTAATCGTGTTTTTTTCAAACGGAGATAACATTATGTTTCCTGACAAGGGACTACCGATGTAAATAAGCTTATAGTTCTGTTACAAGTCTCTCAACTGGGGCTGTGCAATTCATCGTATATTAATCTCGATTACGATTTTGGCTTGCAACGATTACGAAAACAACCTAATCGAAATAAAACGATTGTTTATTTTTAAAAATAAAAAATGTAATTATTTTTTTTATTTTAATTTTTTTTATTGGTTTTTCAGTTGAATTATACTTCAGGGTACTCAACTGTTAAAAACATACTGTTCAACATATTTTTTTCAATCAATGGATGTTTTCAAAGTAAATGGATAATCATTTTTAATAATCGTGATATCAATTAATGACCAAAATAATCGTGATTATGATTTTTGCCATAATCGCACAGCCCTAGTCTCAACTGTAAGTCTGCATTCACGTGCCTGTATAGCTAGATAACCCTCTGTGGATCTCCTTTAAATGATAATCACATTTCATTGTATTTAAATCACTAAAATTGCAAAATGTACCTATATATAATAACGCATTTCTCTTTACAATCTATACAGCTTACAACTCTCTGTCCTTAGACCCTAACATAACAAATATACAACTGCCCCGTAATGTAAGGGTTAAAACATGTGAAGCACATCTCTGTCCTCTCTTCATGTAGAGGTCACTAGTTTCCCTCGGCCTCCGCTTTTTAACGGCCAAAGTCGCACGAGGATGGGCTGATCTTTTTTCTTTCTGGGCGTCCCCCTCTGTTTATGAAAGGAAGCGAGGTTTTGAAGGTCAGGCGAATGTTGGCGGCGATGCTTAATGGAAGCTACGCATGTTGCTCCACTGCGTAGCCGCTTGGCATACAATGACAAAGGGCTGGATGCTGTTATCTATATTTTTCCCACACATGTTGCTTTTCCTGACTCATCCCAAAACACAGAAGCTTTCAGCGTGGTGCTGCAAGATAACCGTCTGAATGTTCTCCAGAATGATAGCCTGCTCCCACAGATTAGTCTGACATGTTGATGTTGGGCGTCCCGTTGAGTTTAATATTATCAGGAGTGTGTTTGTATCAACTGCAGTGCTAAAACTTGGGCTAAACTTAGCAAAGGAACTGGTTTAGGTAATGGTTTTCTTTCAAAGCTACACCTACTGCCGTGCAATTAGGGCTGTTGTTGCTAACAATTGTTTTAATTCCTGATTAATCTGTCAATTATTTTCACGATTAATAGTTTGGTTTGGGAAATTTGACAACCAAAGCCCAAGATCAAATTCTCAAATGTCATATTTTGTGCACATCTCAAATATTCACACTAAAGAAGAGATAAAATAAGTGGATAAAGAGTTAATTTGATTGAATTGGGGAATAACTTAAAGGTGGGCTAGGTAATTTTGGAGACACCAGCTCGAGTGCGCTAGAATTTGAAAATACACAGCCGGAAAGAATCTGCCACTTCCTTCCAGAGCCCCTCCTCCAACACACACGAACATGACCAATGGATTTTTAGTAGGGATGCACGATAATTATCGGCCCGATATTAGGAATTATGACGTCATCCCGATAAACCCGATACCAGTATTAATAGCCCCGATAATATACAATATATTTTTTGGGTACAAAAAAAGAAAAAAATACTGCGGTGTGGGTGGATTGGGATGAGGGGCGCTTGTTTTTCACTCGGCTCCTCCCGTTTTGCCAGTACTGTGGTATTAGTGGTTTAGGAAGAGGGGAGTTCTTCACAAATCCAGCGCTCCCTAACTCATGCCTGGCTGTGACGTAAATGGTGTGCGGCCGTGAAGCCAGGACAGTAAACAAACATGTCGTCGGTGGTATGGGCGTTGGAGCTATGTGCAACTCAAGGCATATGCTCGAACCGGAGCTGCCTGGACGCTGCAATCATGTTGCGCACTATCCGTGCTGAGTGTACTGACTTTTCGTACAATGTCCCACTGTCTGGCTTCCTGCATAAAGTCAAGTGCTCGGCGCAGCTGTGGCGAAATGTCGCTCCTCTGTTTTCATTTAAACAGCTCCTTATCCGTTAGCGCAGCTAGCTAGCACCAGATGCTAACAACAACAATGCACGTAAGGTCTCTCTCTCGCTCGGGCCACACATACACACACCCTCCCGGTCCTCCAGATGGCCTGTCGGTGCCTGCCGGTGAGCGAGGAAGTGTGGTCTGCCACAAGCGGGCAGCAGGAGCGGGGCTGTCAGCATCAGCTTGTAGATGGTATTTTAAACTCGATGTGCTCTGAAACTACGGGGCGGCCAAGGAAAAAAAATACACATGCGTTAATCGCGTTAAAATAATTAGTGGAGTAAAACATTTTTTATTATCGGTATCGGTCTTGAGAAGCAGGAAGTTATCGGTATCGGTTTCAAAAAACCAATATCGTGTATCCCTAATTTTTAGTCAAAGCACTTCAGATATTCATTGCTATCGGGATGTTAAGAGCATTCCATGGAATATAACAAGTGTATCTCGAGCCGGTTTCTCAAACTTACCCCACCTTTAATATATGACAATTTAATAACTTATCTTTGCAGTTCCACCACAATCCAACATAACATCTGAATATTGCATTTTTCCCAACCAAAAATGATTTAACTTCTCAAAAAGCACACTTTTTCTAATATATGTATTTCTTTTGGATGGATGGAAAAGAAAAGATACTTTCCTGACAATGATTTAAGGTTGACATTTCTTCCATTTCCTGACACTGTCTGCATTGTAAAGGATTGCAGATCGTTATTTATAGCCATATTTTTCCCTTTTTAGAGATGAACTGTGCTCAGTGAAGCTCCAGTCACCAGCTGACCTTTGACTGTCTTTCGGAGAGATTATTTGAAGTGAGAGATACGAGGCCATATTCTTGATCTTTACAATGTAAAACATCACATTCATAATCGAGCAGAAAGGCCAAAGGGACAAGGGCGAGTTGTGTAATGCTCAGACGTTGAATGAGAGTATTGTGACTCCTCCATACGTCGTTCAACAAACCTCGCAGTGTCTTCCAACAATGGCTTCTTGCAGGAATTTCTGTGTGCAGCTGTGTTCTGCTAAACCAGACATGGCCAGAAACCCTTTTCAGAGACGCTCTCTGTGAGGCATGTTGTTAGTAATCGTCTAGAAATGTCCAACTTTAGACCACTGCTCCTTCCCAAACAGGAAAATAACTTTACACAAACATGTGGCTAAATGTCATCCTCTTCCAACCATAGCAGGGACATGACTTTTATATCATTACATTTAGCTGACGCTTTTATCCAAAGCGACTTACAATAAGTGCGTTCGACCAACAAGATACGAACTTGAAGAAAACAGAATCATATAAGTACATCAAGTTTCATAATATCACTTTTTGATTCTTCTTGATTACTTTTTTTTTCCTCCAAAATTAAGGTTTCCTCCCTTTTTGTTTATGCTTGTTTAAACTGACAAAACTAGACGACTGCAATTGGCTTTTTTCATTATATTCTGACATTTTATTGACCAAACAACTCGTATTTTAGTCTCTAAAATAACCTGAAGCAGTTTTTCCACCAGACCAGTGCTGAGAGGGCGTCCACCCCGAGAGCTGGGAGGGGGGGTGTGAGACGTCACGTGACTTGAATTTTGAATTGAGCCGTCCCTTAAGTTATAGATACTATCTCGTTACGTATTAGTGATGGGATAAAAACTCGATCTTCTCTCGAATTGTTTTTTTTTTTCAAATGACTGCAAGACGCCTCCCTGGCGGAAACGCTGATCTGAAGATACATTAATAATGAAAATAATTGAAAGCTGCGTCTTTTATTATTTGACAATATACATTTCAGTTTCTCGCAAACAGGCTTGTCTTTAAAACTTAAGTTGGGTGAATGCTACAAGTCGAGTAAAGAAACAGCGCATCCATCAGTTTATTTAGTGGTGTAACAATAACAACTGAAAGTAAGCTCGTCCTTCCTCTCTGACATGATGCTAACCCTCTCCTTTGTGTTTGTCCTCCCTTAGGAAATGACCTAGAGGCCTTACAGATACATTTGTGCTTTTGTCGCTCCAATCTGCGTCCGCGGGGACCAGCGAGATCTGGAAGCACACTTGTTTCCGCGGTGAGTAATATCTACCTCAGCCAGGAAGCTGCTGGAGACCTCAGACGGGCAGAAGGAGCTCTCAGCCGCTCGCTCACTGAGTCCTGCTTTCTGAAGACCATTTCAGACGGACTGGATCTGTCTGCCCTTCACCTCCCACAGAAACCACATCCTCTGATTCCAGCAGTCACTTTTTATTACTGTCATTTCCCCTCCGTGCTGTTGACCAGTGTCTGATTTTCCTTGGCTTCATTTTTGCTTTTAAAAGGATTTTCTACTTTTATTAGTGCAGGCTGGTATAGGTTTATATATGTACATGCATACGTGTATATACTCTATGTACTGCATGACGAAGGATTTCCCCCCCCATTGTGAAGGAAAGTTAATGCACTTTAAAACTTGGCTGTAGTTTCACTTTAAGTTGTTCTTTACTTCCCCCCCCTATTATGATAATTGTGTTAAAAGCTGGAAACAGAGAATCTGGAGGTGTGTGCTGTTTTTTAAGCTGGGCCTGAAGTATCTGCAGCCGGGCTGTTTCTGATCGCCCTCTGACCTCTCCCAGTTCTGCTGCCTCTCTCCCAGGCGCACTGAGATGAGCCTCTGGCAGGTGGAATCCTTGAGCTGTCTTTTTACATAACTTGAACAGTTTCAGGACTGTGGACTGAGCTTGGTGTTTTTGTAAAGAGGACAAGAGAACTTTCCGAGATAACGAACAAAAAAAGTTTCCGGTGCTGTTGCACCACCTATGGTGTTGTAGTGCGCAGGAAAGTAAAATGGACTACAAGCGTCGCTTTTTGCTCGGCGGGTCCAAGCAGAAAGTGCAGCAGCAGCACCAGCAGTACCAGATGCCTGAGCTGAGCCGGACCCTGAGCGCCTCGCTGGCCTCCTCGTGCTCCGCCTCCTCGCCCCTGGGCGGCGGGGGGGGGATGCCGGGCAGCTGCCACCCGCCTCCCTCTGGCACAACCACCGCCGTTGCAGACATCCAGCAAGGCATCTCCAAATATCTGGATGCTCTCAACGTGTTCTGCCGGGCCAGCGCCTTCCTCACAGACCTGTTCAGCAGTGTGTTCAGGAACTCTCACTATTCCAAAGCAGCTATGCAACTGAAGGACGTGCAGGAACACGTCATGGAGGCGGCCAGCCGGCTGACTGCAGCAATAAAGCCCGAGATCGCCAAGATGTTGATGGAGCTGAGCGCCGGGGCCGCCAACTTCAAAGACCAGAACGACTTCAGCCTGCAGGATGTTGAGGTGGGTGATCACACAGAAACGGGCACCAAATCCACTTGTTGAATTAATTTACATACTTGAGTTTGTCACATTGTGTTGACTTAAGTTGAATGACTCTATCTTGTGTTAGCCAACCAAACAAAACAGTTATTGACATTAAAGTCAGCTGTTTGCTCTCCTAGGAATTAATAAATTAAGCTAACAACCTGGTGTCCTAAAGCTAACCACCACATCCTTTTATCATATTTGACTTCTCGTGACTTGTCTTCTAGCAGGAGATGCTTAGCTGCTCTCTGTCAGGACTCAGGAGGCTGGCTCCATGAATCAGTGTATCTTGGCTAAAATAGGATTCTCACGCCCAGTGTTAAGCAGGTGTCAGGATCTGAGGGTTAGGTGTGAAAAACACTGAGGATGTGAGAAGAATTGTCATCTTTTGTCACGGCGAATACCAACCCAGCTTTCCACAGCACGCAATTTGCTGATGTGTAACACTTAAAACACAACTAAGGTATTTTTCATGCAAGTTTAATAGGGGATTGGGACGCTGATGCACCAGTTTAATATCAAGGAGAATCTGCTGTGATCCGGCGGTTCATTTCTCTCTGACTTTGCTCAATTGTCCTTCTCGCATGATTAAACCACACTTCTAGCTTTCCCTAAAGTCACAGAGGGATTACTCACACTGGTTTCTGATCATTTATTCCAGACTGGTTAGTCTCTGCGTGTCACTGTTTGCACAAGAAATGTCTCTTGCAACAATTTTGAGAAAGCAGACCCTCTAATGGCTGAGAAAACAGGCATAGCAGTAATCCTATAGTTGTTGTTGACTCCCTGCTCACCGTTTTCTGCTAAATCTAGTCTCTGTCCGACCCACTTTAGACCGGGTCAGGAGGTTCATGAGGCCAGGTTGGATAATGCATGTTGACGCTGTCCGACCCTAAACACGGGTTCATTTCAGGCTACAACTTCAGTCTAAAATGGACACCTTCAAAAGATCTGAACTAGCTGCTCTTGCTTTGAGAAGTTATTACGATGAGTTGTGATGAAAAATCCCATTTACAGTATTTATCGGAGTTATTCCGATAGGTGATTATGATCTATTTTTGTCTTGACTTCCACTAAGAGACAGTCTCATGTGGTTTTCATCAGCAACAGGTAGCTGCTCACCACACCCACGCAACCCCATCCTTATGATTACTACATCTGCTTATTTATCCTCAATTGAATACACAGTTGTGAGCCTGAGGGAACTCCCTGTGTGGCTGATGATCACCCACTCTCAGAGATTAAGAGATGGGGTTGTTAAATGTTTTGTCGTGGCAGCATAAGTAGCTTCTGGGATTTAAGACAGTCAAAATAGCATTTAAAATAGAAGAGAGGTGGAAAACAAAGACAAATATGTTTGCATATGGAAGTGGATAGTGTTACGTATGAACTAGATGCCAACAAAATAATAGGCGTAAGCCAATCAAATCATATGCCAGTACAAGCTCTAGCCAAACAAACTGCGTGCTTGTGTGTCCGGGCCGGGAGATTCATGTGATTGGTTGTTTGTGAGTTTCAGACCAGCTCAACGGCAAGCTTCAACACACGCCGCCGTGTGGACGCTGCGGAACACTTTTCTTTCCATGATTCAAATACAAAATACAGGGTTCCCGCAGGGTCTTAAAAAGTCATACATTTGATAATCAGATTTTAAGGCCTTAAAAAGTCTTAATTATGATTTAAAAAGAAAGGTCTTAAATATGATTTAGAAGGTCTTAAAAATGATGGGATTTGAAAGGTACTTCTATGTTGCGATCGCGTCTAAATGTGTTTTGGGGGAAATGTCCGGGCTGCAAAGTAACCAGGACGGTAAGAGCCTTTCAGTTCCCCCCAACAATTTGTATTGAATTAAATCAACATGGAACCAGTAATCACTAACTTTGTTCCCCCGGCCCCTTATCGGAGAACACCCAGCTAGTAACCTAGCAACCAACCAAGCTTCAGCTAGCGGCAGTCAGAAACTCAGGTATCTTCGAATCTACTTACAAATAAATATGGGGAAGTGTAAGTTCAACCGTATTTGGTTGGAAAACATCGAATTTAGTGCTTGGTTGAAACCAGTGGAGGGGAACGTGTTTGAAGCCCGCTGCACCTTTTGCAAAATAAATTAGCGTTTGTTTTGCTAGTGCAGCAGCTCCCGCAACAACATCGGGGGACCTCCGGGTGACGTTTGGGTCTACGTCAACCCTAAAAGCGGAGGTGCTGTGGACGCTAAACACCAATCATACAACAGCATGAAGGCAGCAGAGCTCCGACTATAGCTGTTGTCACTCACACACACACACACACACACGCACACACACAGAGACACACACTTTTTGTCTAATACGCTAACACAGTTCTGTGTACTGTTATGCTGTTATGTTCAGTCATCGTTCTCATGTTGAACATGAATACATTTTACTTTGTAAGTAATTATGGGACGTATTTCTTCTTTCATAGCAATTTTTCTTCATACTTTCTTGCCGTGAAATAGGTTTTAAATTCTATTCAAAGTGGTCTTAAATTTGAGTTGGTGAAACCTGCAGGAACCCTGAAAATAATAAAGCACTATGCAAACCATAACCGGAAAAAAGGGTTGTGAACAAAATTGATATATAATTTGTCGCAATATTGTATCAATGCATGGGTGCAGAGTATTGTTTAATCTTTATCTTACATTCTCTTAAAAATGTAGCATGATTGGCAAGAAGTTAGATTATTGATAAACGGATTTTGATAAATTGCATAACTCGCAGTGCTAAAAAGGTAACAAATGTATCCCATATTATATGTTACTGCAATAAGCACCATATTTACTAAATGGTTCAAATCGTAATAATATTGGATTCTTGGGTGACTGCCACCCCTGTAGGAAATAGGTAAGTACAAATATTTCTACAATTGACATGTAAATATTGGCTGAACCACTTCCACATTTTAATATGGAAACGTTTCTAATCCTATCCATGTTCAGACTCCTGAAATAACTCCACCAGTATTTCTTTCTTTGTTTTTGCTGTGTAGAGCAGAATTATGAACGCACCAAGACGGCAAATACCCAATTGTATTTGATTCTGTGGCACCTGTGACAAATCTGAAGTGGTTTTGTATGTGTGCAACAATCCATCTTAAAGCAAAGATAAGACTCTAGTGTGGCTGCGGCACCTCGGTGGATGTGGCCGAGCCCAAAACAGGAAACACTTCTGCACCGCAGTCAGTAAATCTGACTCTCTGCGGTCCTGCATGTGCACAGATGAATATTAGAGGAAGCCCAAGTCTGTGAAAGTTTAGACCGCATGGCTGGCGCTCACACTTGCTGTCTGTCTGGCCTCGGGCATAAAGGGTACATTTATTAAAGCAGAGAAGGAAACGTATTAACATTTGACCGCACAATGGTCTTATTGGAGTGTTAGTTGTGTTAACCTCTGAGAAAACACTGCAGATATTCAATAACATCATGACGAAGCAGTGAAGCATAATGTGTCAGTTAAAGGGAACAAAAAAAAGTTGAATGTCACAGTGAGTCTTTTTTAATCCAAGTAGATGTGTGTATTCATCGTACAGAACATGCTGACAGCAAATTAATGTTAAAATAATATTTTTTGTACTTGCACGGCAGTCATTTGTTGAAATGACCAGAACATAGTAGTTACATTGCACAGTAATGTTTTTATAATGCACAGACAGTAATGTCATGTGTCTATAAATGTCATGTTTTACAGTTCGATGGGAGTGTTCACCAAAGCAGAGGGAAAAATAAATGCTAAACGGAGAGTTTCTACGAACAAAATAGTAAAAAATATAATAGAAATCTGATTAAAGTCAAGTAATCGAACCCTTTTTACCTTTTTAGTTGAGTTAATCTGCAACAGGCGTTACCACTATGCCATGAGTTATTGATTGAGACTAAATATCTGCGCTGCTTTTCTCCCATGTTTTATTTTGGAAGAAGTTCTGTGCATGCATAATTTATACTTGTTAAGACTTAGCTTACAATAATTGCTGCTAATTCAGCCTGTCGTCAACAATGTGATGCGTTTGTGACTGTAAAAGGATTTTCCTTTGTCTGCATGCGTCGAGGAATGCTGTTTGGCAGCTGGATGTATTATGAGGTCTTCAAAAAAACAAATGCATGTCTGAGTTCTGGGAGTTGTGGTATGTGGAGCTTTTCCCCCCTGTGTTCCCCAGCTTGCGTCTCCTTCTCCTCTTTCTTTCTTTCCTTCTTTCCTATGTCCCACCCCCCCCCCCCCCCTTTTTTTTATCTTCACCAAGAGCCTCCAAAAGTTCAGGTCAGTGCAGACTGCAAAACAAACCCCTTTTTTCCACAAATCGGGGCCCAAGTCTGTGGCTGCTCAGTGACTCCGCTGTTAAATATGCATGAAAATATCACGGTTTGTTTAGAGGCCGTTTGCCGAGTTTGTAAGTTTTAACCGCAGAGCGAAGACTCGAGGCACATGGAGGTCCCCAAAACCAGAGAGGCCTTAAAGTGAACAAGCTACCACACTAAAGGGAAAACAACCCCTTAGTGTACAGCTGGTAAAAACACTTTTTATGAGTCTTCATCTAAAAACAGTAAATAATCTAATGTTTTCTTTTAGGTGTTATTTTCTTTGGACAATTAAGTGGAAACAACCATGAAAAGCTCGAACATATATATCCTTTATTCAACCAGGTAAAAGTCTCATTGAGATTACATTCTCTTTCTCAAGAGCGACCTGGCGAAGAAGGGCAGCATGAACACTGTTACAACAGATAAAACACAGACAATACAGGCAGACGAATACAGCGGTCGTAAAAAACAGTTTAAATGGCACATTTACCAGTCAATATGCAAATAAAAGAAACGTATAAATCATTCAAAACTGGCACAATTTAAAAGGACTTCAATTAAGGGATATACGAGCAATCACATCGACCTATGCATTCTTGTTCTCTGTCCTTTAAGATGGACTTGATGTTGGTTTTATGAGGTCTTTACTGGTCTTCTGCTAACT